TCCCTGACACTGTCCCCCATGCTGTACCCACATGTCCCTGACACTGTCCCCCATGCTATACCCACCTGTCCCTGATGCTGTCTTCTGTGTTGTCCACATGCTGTCACTACCCTGGCCCTGCTCTCCATGTCCAGGCCTGGGGGCAGGCAGTGTAGAGGCCCTGCCACCTGGGTGGCCTGAAAGGCAGATGGGCTGCCGGGGCAGGACTGTGGCCTAAGTGACCTGAGAGGTAGATGGGCCTCAGGGGCAGGGCTGTGGCCTCAGTGGCCTGAGGGGCGAGTAGGACTTGGGGGCAGGGCTGTGGCCTCGGTCGCCTGAGGGGTGGGTGGGACTCGGGGGCAGGGCCGTGGCCTCGCTCACCCCTGTGCTGTGCCTTGCCTACAGGTGAAGTGGATCTTCTCCTCGGTGGTGGACCTGAAGCAGACCATCATCCCCGACTACAGGAACATGATCGGGCAGGGGCCCTAGGGTCACCCTCTATGGGGTATCCAGGACCGCCCAGACCCCACACAGGAGTCATGGGCCATGCTTAGCCACCACCCAGGCCACTCGTGCCCCCTGACCTCACCGCCCTCAACCCCATGGCTCTCTGGCCTAGCAGTTGCCCTCTGACCCTGCTATACCAGACACGCCCCCCTTCCAGACCCTGTGCATAGCAGGTCTACCCCAGACCTCCACTGCTTGGTGCATGCAGGGCCCTGGGGGCCAGGTGTGCCCTCAGCAGGACATCCCTGCCCTCCAGCCCGCCAGGTGCTCACACAAAAGGAGGCAGCGGCCGACATACCAGGCGCCCACCCAGGCAGGAGCTGGCCCTGGAGCCAACCCCGTCCACGCCAGCCTCCTGAACACAGGTGTGGTTTCCACACGGCGAGTGGGAGCATCAGCCACCAAGCCGGAGAAGCCACAGCACCATCAGGCCCTGCGGGGGAGGCTTCGGAGAGCTGCGAAGGCTCAGTCAGACGGCCTTCCTCCCAGCCCGCAGCCAGCCGCCTCCATTCTGGGCACTCCTGGGAACTGACATGAGGAATGAGGTTGTTCTTATTTCAGGCCACGCACGCTGCTCTCCGGCTCCTGGGAAGAAGCCTCTCATGGAACAAGGTCGCGGTGTCAGCGCCGCCCCTTGGCTGCCTGCCCACGCTGCTGGATTCTCGGGTGGAACTCGACCCACAGGGACAGCCAGCCCCAGAGTCTGCACTGGGGAGAGGAGGGACCAGGGCCAGGACACGGCCACCTCCCACCCACTCCACTCAGCCGAGATCACTCAGAGAAGAGCCTGGGCCACGTGGTCGCTGCAGGAGCCTTACAGGGCAAGGGCGAGGACAGCCCAAGGAAGGGGTGGGCATCTGCCCAGACAGGTCTGCCAGAGGAGGCCTGGTGACCAGGTCCCAGGCAGGCAAGACTCACCCTTGGTGGGTCCTGAGGACAGAGGAGGCCCAGGAGCATCCGGGAGAGAGGTGGAGGGACACCAGGAGAGCCAGGAGCGTGAACACAGCGGAACTCATCACAGAGGCTGAAGTCCAGCCCCAAGTCACGTGCAGCAGGAACAAGCAGCCACTCTGGCGCATGAGGTGGAGGCGAGACGGCAAAGAGGGTGCCCGTGGCCTGGGGAGAGCGGGGCTGCTGGCCACGACTGCTGGACAGAGGCTCCCACGCTCTGCTGCCCGCGTCACGCCGTTCGGTGAATGTCACGCAGAGTCTGCAGACAGGAAGGGAGGCACGAGCGGGAGCGCGGCAAGCGCCTGCCTCGGCCGTCAGGGAGGACTCACTGGGAGGAGGTGCCACGATTTCAGCTTTGGTAGCTTTTCTCTTCTTTTAAATTTTCTAAAGCTCATTAATCATCTTTAATGTTTCTCGTTTTTGATGACAATAAAATATCCTTTTTAAGTCTTGTACTTTGTGATGGGAGCAGCCTTCCTGTGTTCACGCGCGTCCTGCGCCCGGTGGGAAGCAGAGTCAGGAGGCGGCTGGTCGAGCTGCACCTCAGGGGCTCCCTGCACACGCCCCCCGCCTCCTGCAGCCACATGCACTGCCCACGCAGCTCTCCCTGGCCCGGTCACTACATGGACCCCCGGGGCTTCTCCTCTTGCCTACGTGGATGCAGTTTCTCCTCCTGCTGGGCACGGTGCTGCCTGCCCTGGTCACTCTGCATGGGGCAGGACTTCCAGGACAAGCTGGGTTGAGGTCTGGGAACTGGCTCAGGCTGGCCAGGCAGAGCCACACAAAGGGCCTTCCAGAATCAACAGGTGGGTGTCAGATCTGTGTGAGTCAGCTCAGGACCACAGAGGGGCGGCTCGCACCACAGACCTGGATCCTCCCAGGCCTAGAGACCAGGAATCTGAGATGGGGATGCAGGCAGGGCTGGTTTCTCTCAAGCCCTCTCTCCTTGGCTTATACACACCGTCTCCTCCCTGGGTCCTCACATGGCCATCCCTCTGTGTGCCCGTGTCCTAAGCTTCTCTTCTCAGAAGAACACACATCAGATTAGATTCACCTCATAGGAACGTAATGACCTCTACAAAGACCCCATCTCCAAATACAGTCACATTGCGAGGCTGGGGATTAAGACTTCAATATATGAATTTGTAGGGGTCACAATGTAACTCATAACAGTCCATACTCTGGCCCCCCAAAATTCATGTTCTTCTCACATGCAAAATACATTGATCCTATCTCAGCATCCCCCAAACTTAGCCCTTTCAGCATCAATTCTCAGCCTGAAATCTCATTAAAATATCACCTTAATCAGGTATGGGTGAAACCTGGTGTGATTCATTCTGGGGTAAAATTCAACCCATAAGAGACATGTTGGGTGCCAGAAACAAGGACCAGGCAGGAGAGGCAGAGGTGGAGACAGACATTTTCAAAGATAAAGCTGGGCACTAGGTCATGTAGCAAGGACAGATTTTCAACAGAAATAACTATTGCAACAGAAGAAAGAGTCCGGCAAGACCTGAACTCACCTCCATCTGTGCAGAGGCAACAGCCTTGTAAAGGGAGACGGTACAGGGAGCAGGGAGGGTGCTCGGGGCTCAGGCGTCGGGGAAGGGAAAAGTTGCCCAGCGCTGGTCAGCGTCCCTGGGATGGGGCCCGCTGTGTCCGCGCCGGCCACTGTTGAGGTCAGGATTCTGTCCTCCCAGAGCCTGGAGACACCGGCCCATCTTCCCAATGGGGACACTTCAGGGAGTGGCTCTCAGGTCCCGAGAAAGACCCTCCTGGGTCACAGGAAATGCACAGACATCGGGAACGGACAGAAGGACGTGTGGTTGCAGCCCTTTCAGCAGACGCCCTGAGAAAGGGAGGTCGGGGTTGGAGCAAACAGTCAGTTCTGGTGCACGGAGCTTTCTCACGCAGGTGTTGATGGGGCAAGGGTCGGCCTAGGGGTGCAACCAGAAGCTGTTAGACACTGTTAGTGTCTGCTCAAGTCTTTACAAGCCAAAGTTGAGGCCGAGTGGAGAAGCTCCAAGGAGCCTGGCTGGAACTCAGTCAAGGAGATGGTCTTGTTACCGAGGTGGCTGCGGTGGCTGGGCTGGGAAATGCCATCGGAGTTTCCTGTGGCAGGAGAGAGACCATCTCACCCAGGAAAAGGGGAGTGGTTGGATTCGTTGGTGTGGCATCGAGCAGCAGGAGCTGCACCAAACACAGAGTTGGGGTGAAATCCCCAGACTCCAGGCCCTGCGGTGCTGTGGGAGGCCTCACCGCTGGAGGGTGGGCTCCAGGGGGCCTGGCCTCAACTGGGTGCTGAAGCCCAGCCCTTTAACTCCCAGGACACACTGCTGCAGCCACGCGGGGGGTGAGAGAGACAGTACCTGGGGTCAGGGCGGGCAGCTGCTGCATCACCGGCTCTATCCGAAGCCCGAGGATGGCGTCCCAGAGATGCAGGAGAGCTTTGCCCAGAGAACGAGCCAGCCTGCAGGGACCCTGCTGGACAGGTCTCCACCCTCTGCCCTTCAGGCGGCACTCGGGGCCTCCGGGTGCTCTGGTTGGATGGGCTTCAGTCCACTCTCTGATGATAGACGGCCCGGCCAAGCTAAGGAAGGGAAACCCAGGGCAGTGCTGGGCGCTGCGTCATTCCGTGCCCTGAGCAGGCTGAGTTGGGAACAAGCAGATGCTCCATGCAGCTTCTGCCCCCTTCAGGGCCTGGCACCTGGACCAGGTTCCCTGGGGAAATTGGGCCCCTCCCTGAGGCACCCAGGCCCCACCTCCCCCTTTCCACCTGGGACCGAGCATCCTCCAGAGGGCCGGCCCTCCTGGAACAGCCCTCCTGCAGGAACACCACGCCCAGCCCCAGGACCCTCCCTCAACTCTCCAGCAAGGCTGCACTGTGGGTGACCCCTGCACACCCTCCAGCCGTCCGTGCTGTGATGTAACACAACATGGTGTGACATGGTGTGATGTCCCTGGTGTGACAGGGTGTAATGTGGTGTGATGTGACAGGACATGGTGTGATGTGCTACGATGTGGTATGACAGAGTGTGACATCCCTGGTGTGATGTGATGTGGTGTGATGTGGTGCAATGTCCCTGGTGTGATGTGATGTGACATGACTGAACATGGTGTGATGTGATGCAGTCGGATGGGGTATGACATCCCTGGTATGATGGGGTATGACATGGTGTGATGTGGTGTGACAGAGTGTGACATCCCTGGTGTGATGTGGTGTGATGTAGTGTGATGGGGTATGGTATGGTGTGATGTGTTGTGACAGAGTATGACATCCCTGGTGTGATGTGGTGTGATGT